AAAAATGGCTATATCTATGCTTGAGCATGATAAGGAAGAATCCCGTGACTTAAGATTTTCAAAAGAGGCCATCTTGTCTTCTTGCTCAGAGCCAAAGACACTCCCCCTGGTGGATTCTGTGTCAGGCCAATTAAGACAGAGGGCACTGCATACGTCACATGAAAGTCTCCCTGATCAAGTTACACATGTCTTACATAACCACTCCTACTCTAAAGCATACAATGCCCCGTATGCAAAGCTGCCCAAGGTGCAGCGCCATCTGCTGGCAAAAGTAATTTACTACAGGAAGCTGAAATGCCACAAGTGTTTCCACAGGCCCAAACTCAAACACCCCCTGGCGGTGTTGGTGTCCTTTTAGATGGAACACAGCAAAGGCAAATGATTGCATCTCCAGCAGGTCATGCCAATATTGCAGCTCAAGCACAAATGGCAACTGGAATACAGCAGATTCCAGTGCATCAGCCACAGCAGCTACAAATGCCTGCATATGTGCCCCAGCCACAAGTGCAAATAGGGCCACCTCCTGGCCCACCTCCAATGGCACAACCAAGACCATTTTTAGGTCCGCAACAGGCACAGCAAATACCACAGGCATTTCTGCCAGCACAGCCAGCGTACCAAGTGCAGGCCCCTTACCAGGCATTTTCTGTCTCTCCACTAACTGGTGAGTCAAAACTAAAAATGTCTGAACTCCACGGTTCGAGATTGAAACCTGGTGAACAAATTGGAGGACATTTGACCAAACTGAAAGGTTTGAGAACAGAATTGAGAGAAAGAGGCCATAACATTGAAGATATTCAAATGATCAGCATCATTATTAACTCTTTGAATTATGAATGGAAAGATGCTGTTACAAAAATTAACCAAGTCCCAATTGCTCAACGCACAGTGGACAATGTTTGTAGACTTTTAATTGAAGAAGAGGCATTCATGTTGGCCACGCCACACTTGAGAGGACCACCCGCATCAAGAGCTCCAGCTAGACGCCCCTTCCGAGGAAGGACCTATGCTCCAAGGATGCCAAGATGCAACACCTGCAATCGTGTGGGACATGCCACCCGGGATTGTCCCCAACGAGTTCCAGCTCCCGTCACGTACCAGCCCAGAGGAACAGATTCCAGAGGCAGAGGCAGAGGCGGTAGACAAGGTCGTCATGGTCCCCGGCGTGATCCACAAACTCCACTCGCCACATTGGCTTTAACCAATGATCCACAACCTCAACCAGAGTACGACAGACAACTCCTGTGGACTTTGGACAGTGGTGCAGCATTGCATGTTACCTACAGAAAGGAACTTTTCACAGAAATGCACGAGCCTGAACCAGAACTACGTGAACTTTATTCTTTTTCAAATCATCCTTGTCAGGTCAAAGGAAAAGGAACTGTTTATGTTGAAGAGCTCGATGCATTCATTCCTGATGTTTATTACATACCAACAGCAACCAGTAATTTGCTTAGTCAGTTTCACTTGTCTAGAATGTTAAAGTTCCAAGTTCACCACCTTGAAAAAGCAAGTTACATAGTTAAAGATGGAGATATTGTTGCTGAAACCATATTAATTGGTGGTGTTTATTACTTAAAGCCAAAGCCTAAAACACAAACACAGGCAAGTATGCAAACTCCAAAAGGGCAGAGCACAGGCCCAGAGAGAGATGCTCCAGAGAGAGATCCTGTTGCTACCCCTAAGGCTCCTAAAGCCAACAAAAAGAGAGTTGATAAACAGGTTGCTCAGAGCAAGCCTGAGGTTCCGCATAAAAATGTTAATGTTGAGAATTCACTAACAGGTAAACCTTTGCATTCCAGGTGTATCCACAAATGGCATAGAAGATTGGGGCATGCCAGTTTCCGTGTTCTTAGGAAGATGCCGGAGTTCGCAAAAGGTTTGGATCTAAAGGGGTGTAAGGTGTTTTTGGATTGTGCTGTATGCAAGAAGGCCAAATCCAAAGCAGCAGCCATTCCCAAACACGCTACACGCCTGTCAACACGCATTTTTGATTTGGTTCACATTGACATAGTTGGTCCATTCCCACCATCATTTGGTGGTAGAAAATATTTTCTAACAATTGTTGATAATTACTCTAGATATGGATATGTGTATCCTATGAAAGAAAAATCAGAGACTTTTCAGATCTTTAAAGACTTTGCAACCCTTGTTTCTACCCAACACCAAGTTCGCATCGCCAGAATCCAGAGTGATCGTGGTGCCGAATTCATGTCTCAGCGTTTCCAGGACTGGATGCGTAAGAATAGAATTATTCATCAGACTTCGGCCCCTGACACATCGGCTCACAACGGAGAGGTACTGCAAACCATGATGCGTTGTCTCCTAGAAGACGCCAATCTTGATATGATATACTGGGGTGAAGCTATCAAGTATGCAAATTACATTGTCAACCGTACTTGGAGCAGTGTAACAAATCAGACTCCTTTCTTCATGTTGTATGGCTACAAGCCTGATCTTAAAAACATCCATATTTTTGGTTCATACGCTATGGTGAACATTCCCTTAGCTCAAAGAAGAAAAGGAGGTCCAGCAGCAAAGAGACTGAGATTTATGGGTATTGATGATAATTCAAAATGGAGCAAATTTATTGACTCTAAACATGTAATTGTGATTTCCCAATCTGCTAATTTTGAAGAAGATATTGACTGGTCCAGGATTCATTCCAATGATCCTGGAGTTTATTTTCCTAGAGATGATACTGCTGATGTTACGCAGATTGATGATCAAGATTCCACTGATTCTTCTCAACCCGATGTTCCGTCTTCGCAAGCCGCGGATGCTGATGCTAGCGACGAAAGTGAGGACGAGGACGAAGAAGAAGAAGACTGGACAGTTGTCCCGAGACGTTCCAAGAGGGCCACAAAAGGGATCCCTCCACAACGATATTCTTGGCAACTGACAAAAGCACCCTTGCCTTTGATTTGCAATGTTACGCTTCCACCTGATAATTTCACACAAATCAAGCAGCTCCCTGATTCAGAGCAAGACAAATGGTATGATGCAATGCAGGTTGAAATGGACAGTCTAAAGAAACTTAAAGTATTTACACCTGCAAAACCTCCAGCAAACAAAAAGGTCATTGGCACTCGACGGGTCTACAGAATCAAAAAGAAACCAAATGGTGAGTCACTGTACAAGGCCAGACTTGTAGCTCAGGGTTTCGCTCAACGTTATCCTGAGGACTACACAAATACTTACTCACCGACAGTCAGAACTGAGAGTGTAAAAATTGCTTTAGCAACTGCAACTATCCTTGGTTTAGAAGTTTTCCAGTTTGATGTTGACACGGCTTATCTACATGCAGACCTAGACGAAGAGATCTACGTGAGAAGTCCTCCAGGATTCCAACAGCAAGAAGGGGATACCTGGTTCCTAAACAAAAGTCTTTATGGTCTGAAACAATCTGGTTTAATGTGGTATTTATGTCTTACTGACAAACTAAATTCAATGGGCTTTATTAAGTCCGAAACTGATGAGTGCGTGTTCACAAAAAGATCTAACAATGCATATGAGATAGTTCTTGTTTATGTTGATGATATTGTTTATATTGGTCCAAATAAGCAAATGAGTGAAATTTTTGCCAAAGCTTTGCAGAGATACTTCACATTGAAATCATTAGGTCACATTAGCACTTATTTAGGTGTTCAGATTGAAAAGACACAGAAGGGGTTTAGTCTTTCACAAGAAGATAAAATTGAACAAATTTTGCATCATTGCAACATGAAGGATGCTAACACAACAAAGACACCCATGCAAACAGATTTTCACAACTTGACACAAGAAGAAAGTCCTGAGTTCGAGGATCAAACACTTTATCGTTCAGTCATTGGGTCACTGTTATACATTAGTAGTTGGACCAGACCCGACATTGCACTTAGTGTTAACCTCTTATCTCGACACGTGGGTAAGGCAAAACAGTTTCATTGGACATGCATTAAGAAATTATTGAGATACCTAAAATACACCAAACACATGAAGTTATTGTTAGAACCAACACATACTGATTATGCAGAATTATGTTGTTATGCAGATTCTGATTGGGCAAGTGATAAGAAATCACGCAAAAGTACTTCAGGTTATATGATGTTCTTAAATGGATGTCCTGTTTATTGGCAAGTACGTAAACAGAATTTTGTTTCTTGTTCATCTACTGAAGCTGAATATGCTTGTGTTTCAGATGCATGTAATTCTCTAATTTGGTTTGATGCTTTAGTCACAGATATCTGGACACACCCGATCCAACCGATCACCGTGATGGAAGACAATGAATCGGTGGTTTATATTTCTGAATCTCATTTTACAGGTTCTAGGTCCAGACACATTGACATTCGTTACCAAAACATAAAGCATTTAGTGAAAAAAGGTTTTGTCAAAATGCAATATGTATCCACACATGATCAAATTGCTGATATGCTCAACAAACCACTTCCAGCAGCTCAACACGAGTATCTGCGTGAGAAGATGTGCCTTATTTGATGATGAACTGATATTCGCTCAACTGGCAAAGAAGGGGAATGTCACTGCGTTATTTTATTTACCAGCTGAGCTCATTATTTCTGGACTGTCAGACTCTCCGTAGCTTTGCCAACTTCTTATCAGTAAGCTACTACGCATGTCCATCCACCCACATTCCTTCACTTGCTTCTCACTCCTTCCTTTGTTCTCTTGCCAAGGTCCGGCTGACATAGCCGGCAAGAATTACTTTCAAAAATGTAACAATTAACTTTTCTTAGTTAGTGAGGTGTTTTATTTTCTTTATAACAAATAAATGAGTTTTATTAGAAACCTTCCTTCGCGTTTCTTTTCAGATTATTGAAACGCGTTTTCTTCCTCGGGCAGCAAAAACACTCGATTTTTGGTTTGATGTTTCTTAACAAAATGTTTCAACTTCAGCTTATTTTGAGACGTTCTCTGGTATCACCCCCCCTAACCTACTGTATGTCAAGTGGATGTACGTACATTTCCAGGTATTTAACTAATCACCAACTCAGGCCATATTGTGGTTTAATTGGAAATAACTATTTTATTTGCTCTGTTATGAATTACTTCAATGCCATTCAAAAACTCTGACTTGGAAAAAGGCTACATCAATAAAAAAAAAAGTTAGTGCCACATTGTTTGTACACATTGTGTATTAACAATGTGACCACAAGTTTGGCTACACCAATAAATACATAGTGGGGTAACAAAGTATCATAACTCCCCCCTCCTATATGTTAAAAGTAAACTTTTTTTAAAAAAAACCATAAGCTGAAAAGCAAAAATGTTCTGGATGTAATGCATTGATATAATGTTGTGTCGATGTAATGATGTATTTTGGTCCTATCTATAAAAGAAAGGATAACTCCAAATTGTGGGCACAGGATTTCAGCCCATCATGGATGTTACCTGCCACTAATTTTAGAGCAACAGGTCCATTAAAGGTGATAATAAGAGTAGAAGAATAGTGAAAGGTATAATAAAGAGGAGAAACTCCTTTTTCTTTGCCCAGTGTATCCAAACATGGTTGCAGAAAGTCAATATTTCATCATCTGATCTCATTGCTACGGTCCAATCAGGCTTCTGAACCAGAGATGTTGACTACAGGGCTTTTTCCTGATTTTGAGAGAATTTTCCTGTGGAAAGAAACAAAAAGCAATGGATGGAAGCTAATCAAGGAGAGAAACAACTTAGAACTAAGGAGAAATTTTCTGATAGTGAGAACAATTAATCAGTGGAACAACTTGCCTGCAGAAGTTGTGAATGCTCCAACGCTGGAAGTTTTTAAGAAGATGTTAGATAACCATTTGTCTGAAGTGGGTGTAGGGTTTCCTGCCTAAGCAGGGCGTTGGACTAGATGACCTCCAAGGTCCCTTCCAACTCTGTTATTCTATTCTATTCTAAAAAATGAAGATTTGCTTGACCTTCCTCCTTCAGTTTCTATCTATGGAGGTTATATGTTTGCAGTTCAGAGTTTGAATTGTCTCTTTTTTTTTCAACCTTTTCATTTTTAAATTAATTAATGAGTTTGGTCCTAAAATGAGATCAACAAAGAGGTCTTAATTGAAACCTCAGAGATCCAACTAACATATATGGCAAGTGATCCATAATCAGAACTTTGTTTCCATTTTTTTATTAATCCTTCAGGATTTGACCATTATTCAGGAAGGGTCATTTAATCCCTTGCCTCACCCTTATTTTCTGAATCTAACCCACACATACCCCCAAAATTATTTCCCTATAGTCAACAAGGAAACAAATGCTATGGGTTTCTGAGCAAGGTATTTTTTTAAAAAAAAACAAAAAATGCATTTGTCCTTGTGAACTCTTCCATAATTAAATGGAACATAATTAAATGTAACATTTGGAACACGGAACATTTAATTATTTGCACAGATATTCCACATTTGCTGGCTGAGGAATTCCTAAAAATTGTAGCAATCAACAAAACTGTGCAAGGCATGTATGATGTTAAATAAAAATGACTTGTATCACCTGAGCAAACTAAAGAGATTGGTCACCCCAAAGGAACCATCAAACTCAACCAGGGTGAAGGAAAACCATCTATGTATGAACCAAACTGGTGGAATGGAACCAACCCAAGTGAGGGCTCCACAAGTGAGTTGTAGAAAAGTCACCTTAGAAGAGGGGTAAACTAGGATTCCTTTCTCACCACCTTTTTTTCTCTTGGGTTTTATTTTCTATAACTGTCATGGCCCCATCAGAACCTGAGTCCGTGGAGGAGGACGAGCCGAAGCTGAGACTGTCAGAAGTTGAGGATGTGGCCTTGTTGCCTTCGGGGGAAAGTGGGGAAGAGCAGGACGAGGCAGCCCCGGGTTCCTTGGGCTAGGGATGGCTTGCCAGCAGAGACAAACAGGGGCAGGATGACCGAGAGAGGGGGGAAGAGAAGGAAGGCAGTGGAGATGAGGAGTGACGGAGCTTAGGTGATGAGCAACGACTGCCCCTCCTGATCCCTGAGCACAGAGAGTGGAGAGGAGGCGGGAACAGCACATGCCAACCTGACGACTTGGTAGGAAAGCACCCCACCCCTCTTCACAAGGCACACCTGGGAACTGAGACTTAAGAAGATGCCGTGGGGAGGGGAACTTGCTGGGAACAAATGCTGAAATCGTGGAGTTTAGTGTGGCTTGCCGACGTTTGGAGTTTGTTGGATGTTTTGCCTCATTGCTGCCTTGTTCCTTTGCCTTGCTGGATTTCTTGCCATGAAGCCATCATGCTAACCGTGTTTGCTGGACTACTCACAGCCAGAGGCTGCTGGAAGTATGTGTGAGTGCTTTGCTCCGGGACTTGTCATAAACATGGCTGCGTTTGGGGGAAATCTGGGCCAAATAAAGGGGAATTTGAACTACCAGCTAGCTGTGTTGCCTCCATGCCTTGCTCTAGGTCTGTGATGGCAAACCTATGGCACGTGTTTCACAGGTGGCACGCGTAGCGATATCAGTGGGCACGTCAGCTCAGCTCTGGCGCACATGCATGTGCCAGCCAGCTGATTTTCGGGCCTTCTGGGCCCACCAGAAGTAGGGAAACAGGCTGTTTCCTGCCTCCGGAGGGCCTGGGGAGGTGGGGAAGGCCCTTTTTTTTCCCTCTCCTGGCTCCAGATCCTCTCTATGCATTTGGGGAGGGCAAAAACAGCCTTTCCCACTCCCTCAGAGGCCCACCAGAGGCCTGAAACAGCCCATTTCCAAACTCCCAACTCTCTAGGAGTCTCTGGAGGCTGGGGACGGCAAAAAAGTCACTTCCTGTCCCACCGGGAGTTGGGAAATGGGCCGTTTCAGGCCTTCAGAGGGCCTCCAAGGGAGTGAGAAAGGCTGTTTTCGCCCTCCCCAGATGCACAGAAAGGATCTAGAGCCAGGTGAGAAAGAAAAACGGGCCTACCGGGCCATCACGTGTCATGAGCGGAGTGGAGGGGGGGGGTTGTGCATGCATGCACAGGGCAGGACACATAGAATTATGGGTGTGGGCACACGTGCGTGTGAACCTCCTCCGCCCCCCCTCCTGGCACGCGATGGCAAAAAGGTTAACCATCACTGCCCTAGGTCATCACAATAACACTCATCTTTGAGTGCTAAATACCAACTTACCCATTGTTCTCAACTCCTGTTGTAGACCTTTTACACAGAATATTCTTTTTGCAGAACATCAAGAAGCCACACCGGCGCTTGTAATAACACAAGGCATCTATCAGCAAGAGGAGCACCAGTATTGCCAACACAATTGCTAAAATGCTGCCCCATCCCAAGCCTCCATCTGGAAGAAAAGAAGAACTTCTGCTTGAACTAACAGATGGAGAGATGATTGTAACATCAAACTTTTCTTCCAAAACTAGAGACAATAAAGGTACCACTAGCACCAGGGGCGGGTTCTACTTACCTTTACTACCGGTTTGCAACGGGGCAGCGCGCGCATGTTTACTTCGCTTGTGCACGCATGCACTCTTCTGCGCATGTGCAGAAGCATTCTGATGACATCGGGGTTGTTGGGCGGAGCCTCCCGCCGGTTTTACTACCAGTTCTATAGAACCGGTGCGAACCAGGGGGCAACCCACTACTGACCAGCACTCTGTAACCCATGTACCCAAAAACACTGAAAAGAATTTCATTTGCTAAGTTATACCGAGTCTTATACATTTTAAGGGACAGGCATAAAAGAAAGGTAATGTCAGCATTCTGATGCTGACATAAAAAGACGAGGCTTGACTTTTCACCTACTTATTTCTCTGTAGATAAGATCCCCTAGGAGATGGGATGGCGGGGGGAACATTCCTGTGGGGTGAGGTCAGAAGCTGGGGAGACTGACTTGGAAGATGGCCAATGAGAAGATGAGAATTGGGGAACAGAAAGGGAAGGGTTTGGGGGTCAGAGGGTTAGTATCGGCTACGACGAAGTCGGGGCCACATCTGTCGTACTCAATAAATGGAATATTTCAGCAAAGATTAATTGTTTGGGAGTGCAATTTATTTGAGATGACATCGAAACCTGACAGGTAGGCTTAATGGGGAAACAACACTGTGCGTTTGCTAATTTTCTGAGTTTTTCCTTCCTTTCCCCAAAACAAAACAAAGACCAATTTATTTAATTGACTCAGAAAGTTTTAAGTTTAAATCTATGCTACATCAATTTAAAGATTTACAGTACCTGTTTTTTTTTAAAAAAAAAAAGTTCATGATTTCATTAAATATATACTTTGGGGTTGTTCCCTCTAGGTAAAATAGGTCACCTATTGACTAATTCAGTGACAGTGAAATTGACATCACATTTTGATTAATATTCTCCAGGATGTGACCTAGTTCCCCACCGGTGGCTCATCTAACTGTCATCATCTATACTCCAAACATAGGCCAAAAAGAGGGGGTGGAATGCAGAGGAAGAAAAAAAACCCCATGTAAATTCAAATGGCAGAAACATCCATCCAAAAACAGTAGGAAAAAATGGCAAATACCTTGCAAAATGACTCCTATTTTTAAGTGAAACAAGACCTTCTCTCAAACTGTCACTAAAAAGACTCTTGTTATAAATCTTGCACCACAAAGCTTACTGTGAGTTGAGGATACCATATATACTCATGGATAAGCCCCATCCATAGATAAGGCAATCCTTAACGTTTTCATAGGCTTTAATTTTCACAATAGGCTTATCTAAGGAAGACCCTTTTCTCTTGAAGTTTTAGTTAGAAATTTGAGAATTGGCTTACCTGCAAGTACAGATGAGATATATGAGTATTTTTTTTAAAAAATATTATCATATATACTTGTGGATAAGCCAATGTCAGCCCTTTGAGATAGTCCAGATAAGAAGAATCAAGCATGAGTATTGTGTCAGGATATTGTGTGGCTTGCTGTCAGGGTTCCGAAGGATGCCCTAATTAAATCATGAGCCTTAAGCCAAGCTTCAAAAGAAATCCAGTTATTTATTAGGAGCTTCATGTCCACACGTTCCCAAGTGCAGCCAGCTCTGACCCCACGTAATTTATGCCCCAATCATGACCCTGTTTCCCTCCTCCCCCCAGGGTTTGTCATCAATCACATTCGCCAATGAAGCAATTTCGCGGGTTGTAGAGATCAGTCCCCTCCGACCGCTGTGGGTAACCCTGGGATATAGCCTTGAGAGAGATAAGTTTGGAATGTGCATCTGTCTTTGGCTGCTATGCCGTTTCATCAGGTTCCCATCCCCCTTGCTTATGGCAACTTGAGAGCAGGCCAGGGATGCTTTGTGAGTTGACATATTGGCACTATCTTTATCATAATATTACAGTAACAGAACCTTGCAACTCTGAATATATATCTCCACTTCACCTTTACAGTCTAAGAAACTAGGGAGGGTCTCTTCTAAGATGTTTGCCATGCCCTCCTTTCTTCTGCAGGCTCAACTGCCTTTTATCTGACCACTGCCTAGTAACACCTTATCTACAAGAAAATATGGTAGTCATTTTTACATCTTTACTTAAGCCACCTTAACATTCACAGAGAAAAGTCAATCTGTCAAAGCAATACACAACTCAGTGTATTGTAGTACAGTCCAGGGCAATGCATTGCAACACAATGCATTTAATAAAATTGTATAACACCACTATTTAATTAGGGTGATTTTTCCCAAAGAATCCTGGGGCCGTAGTTCAACCACAAGGCTGTTCAGAATTCTGTAGAGACACTGTGATGTTCTCACAGAATTACAGTTGCCAGAGTTCCTAGTGAGGACAGAAGGAAAGTTAAGTTATTTTTTTACATTTGCCAAATAGGTAGCCTGAATCCAATCTGACGGTTCACGAGTAAATATTGATCCTTCACCTTTTTCCAACGGAACGTTCTTCTTGGTGGTGCCCACTTCATTAGCAGCAGTTATAACGAGTTCTGGAATGTCCTCTTGCGAAGTTGGTGTAATCTTAACAACAAAATAATATTTAAAAATTAATGTCCCTTCTTAAAAACCACCCAATCTGCTATTAGAAAAATTCTTCACCAAATTAAGAGAGGCCAATTTAGGACTTTGCATACAACAGGGATAGGGAACCTTCTGCCCACAAGTCAAACCTTTCAAAAACAAACTTTTTTATGGTTACAGACCAGAATTAAATCTGTCCTTTGCCACCTGTCATAGTAGATCTCAGGTCTGGTTCCCCACCCTCCAAATATCTTAGTTTCTCAGCACTTTAAGGTGCTGCCTAATAAGAGATAGAGGCAGAAGAAGCAAGTTCCCAGGAACCATAGCTTCAAATGGTGCATTATCAGTGGTGCCATTCAGCCGGTTCTATCCGATTCGAGCAAACTGGTAGCGGTGGCTATGGGAGGCTCCGCCCAGACATCCTCACGTCCCGTTTTTGAAACTCTGCGCATGCGCACTCCATTCTGTGGGCGTGGCTTGATGGGGTGTGGCATGGCTTGGTGAGCGTGGCTTGGTGGGCATGGCAGGGGAAGGATACTGTAAAATCTCCATTCCCACCCCACTCCAGGGGAAGGTTACTGCAAAATCCCCATTTCCTCCCGATCAGCTGGGACTTGGGAGGCAGAGAATAGATGGGAGCAGGGCCAATCAGAAGTGGTATTTACCGGTTCTCTGAACTACTCAAAATTTCCACTACCGGTTCTTCGGAACTGGTCAGAACCTGCTGAATACCACCTCTGGCGCGCTCCCATTTGGGAACCGGTAGCGAAGGTAAGTAAATACCACCCCTGTGCCATATGTTTTGAAGGGAGGGGGGAATTGGTTCTCTAACAATGACTGCTTTTTCATTTTCACCATCATCTCTTATAAGTGCTCTACTCTGTGTTCACTGATTCTTTAGAGAGAGGTTCTGGTGAACCTCCTGAGTTTTCATTTTACACTTATAGAATACAATCTTCTCAGTAGATTTTAATGGACTGATGTTGCTTGTTTACTTAAGCCTTGGTGGTTCAGCGCTACAGATCAGGTTGGTCAACTAAATGCTAAAAAAGGAAGTTTGATCATTGGCATCTAGCCAACAGGATCAGAGTGCCTACAAACAGCCGCCGCTGGTGGTGGCAAGAGCTGATTATGTAGAAAACTTCGTTAATTCAGAAAATTGGATTATAATTAACGAACGAGAGCATCAGGCTGGCAAGACCATAAGTTTTCCAAATCTAGTTAGAGCAACAGCAAAATAACCATTTTGGAATGCACAATGGAGACATAGAAGGCTACGAAATTAGATATGCTAATCACAGAAAAAGATAGAAGGAGGGAAAGAAGGAGGGAAAGAAAGAAAGAAAGAAAGAAAGAAAGAAAGAAAGAAAGAAAGAAGGAAGGAAGGAAGGAAGGAAGGAAGGAAGGAAGGAAGGAAGGAAGGAAGGAAGGAAAAAAGAGTTGATTCCAGAGATTGGGAACAGTTTAGAAAGCAAGAAGCAGCCTGTACTCAGGATACATGCTAAGAAAATAGTACAAATTTTGTCAGAATTTGGGAAGTGTTGAAATAAAGACTCTTGAAAAAGTCATCATGGAAAGGGGAAGAAATGACTTAATCATAAATAGGATCATTAATCAATGTTTTTCATTTCTTTCCCTATTCAAAGATATTTAGTATGGCAGTATAAAGATGACTCAAGTCTTGGCAAGTTCACCAAATGTCATGTCTCACCTCAAAGAGGAACAAATATCTATTTTGGTTCTGCGCTATCATTTTGATGGCATCATCTTCAAAAATCTTCTCCTTCCAAGCAATGGAGACAGAAGGTGAGGGGTTAGCCAGGATGGTGAAGTTGACTTGAATGGGATTCCCAGTCTGAGTGACCAAAGGTACACTTGTAAGGAGCTCTATTTTAGGAGCAACTGAATGGGAGGACAGAAATATATACTGAAATATGTCATGAATTTTATATTTGGGTTTATACATTGCCTTAGGCAATAAATTATGGTTTACAAGCCACTTAGACTATGGTTTCTAAAGCGTACAACAAGAAGAACTTCAAATTGGTTGGAGTAAAAGGAATGGAGTAGTCATAAACAAAATCTTTATTATTTGAGGGGGGTCTTTTTTTAACCTTGATAAATAATATTGTGGAGATGTTGAAATTAAACTCAAAAATTTACACTTCTTATCATGAAAACAACTCAGGGTTCTGTACTCTGCTCAGAATCTCTTCTTGGTGTTATACTGAGCATCAGTGGTATAATTTCAGTAATTATCTGTAGCTATGACCTATTTTTTAACCTGTTTTCAATTTCTAAAAAGTACGGGAAGTCAGGGGCAGGTGTAAACTTTTCACCTCTGGGTTTTTTTAAAATCTGCCTGCAATATTCAGAACAATCTTCAAAGATTCAGAGGAAGCAATCTTTCTGTGAGAATGAGGAAGGCTGGGTGATGCTGGCAAGTTTCCCCACAAGAAGTCAACCACAACACAGTGGAAGTGTTGTCAGAGTGAGAGTGAAAACGAAAACCGTCTCACTAACTCACTAGTTTATAGCCAACTTCTCTCAAAGAGGTGAAAATAATTCCCGGTTGTTCTAAGTGTAGCCATTGTGTTTATTTATTTCAAGCAGTGCTTTCTTTTAAAAATAAAATAAAATACTATCAATAAATGGGGAGAGATTTATTAGAGTTAAGCAATTCATGTTCAATATGACATTGATATAAGATTAGCCATGCTAAACAAAGCATAAACAAAGAATTATTTTTATAATTAAGAAAAAGAAGCATGGTTTTCTTTAGTGCGATTACAACCTCCACTATATTCTAATGCAAAATCAGGTTTCTCAATTTTCATTAGACTTTACTCATTTCAACATAATAGAGGTGGCACACGTAGCCATATTGGTGGGCACGCAAGCTCGGCCCTGGCGTATATGCATGCATCGGCCAGCTGATTTTCGGGCCTACTGGGGCCACCAGAAGTAGGGAAAAAGGCTGTTTCCTGCCTCCGGAGGGCTTCGGGTGGTGGTGGGGAAGGCCCATTTTTCTCTCCCCCCAGCCTCCAGAGCCTTTCAGGGAGTCTGGGGAGGGCGAAAACGGCCTTCATGGAAAATGGCAGGAAAATGGCCTTAATGCTTTCAAATCAGTCAACACTGATTTGAAAGCATTAAAAAAAACAACCTACCAATAGAAAAATCAGTGCTCCCTAAAGTGGTACAGTGCCATGAGACAGAAAAAAGAGAACTTACATTTAATGTTGAGTGTAAAATTTGCAAAAGCTACTTCATTGCGTTCTTCAATGGTTGCCTCACAAATGTAAATACCAGCATCGGATGATTGGGTATTCTCTATCAGAAGCTTCCCATTTTCAACAAATAGTTGCCCTGTAAACCACAAAAGAAATGGCTGTGATAATTAAATCTGTCTCTAATGCGATTTGCAGTCCCAGGCAGTCTTGAGGCTAAATGAAACCCATCAAACTTTATGTAAAAAGGTAAAGGTTCCCCTCGCACATATGTGCTAGTCGTTCCTGACTCTAGGGGGTGGTGCTCACCTCCGTTTCAAAGCCGAAGAGCCAGCGCTGTCCGAAGATGTCTCCGTGGTCATGTGGCCGGCATGACTAAATGCCAAAGGCGCATGGAACGCTGTTACCTTCCCACCAAAGGTGGTCCCTATTTTTCTACTTGCATTTTTTACGTGCTTTCGAACTGCTAGGTTGGCAGAAGCTGGGACAAGTAACGAGAGCTCACCCCGTTACATGGCACTAGGGATTCGAATTGCTGAACTGCCGACCTTCCGATCGACAAACACAGTGTCTTAGCCACTGAGCCACCGCGTCCCTTCAAACTTTATGTAACCACAACTAATTAGAAACAAGAACTAGTTTCCTTTATTTTGAGGACTCCCCAAAACACAACAACTATATAACGTATGTGCTTTCTGAATCTATTTCAGAGAGGTTTAGGCATGGAGTGGGATCAGTCACTTTTGTGAATGACCTATGGCAGAACTTGAAAGGTGTGCAACCTGACTTTCCTGCTCAGCCATAGCTTCTGAAGCCATTGATCATGAAGTCCTTCTGGATCACCTGTGATGTTCAGAAGTATTAGGGCAGTGTTTCTCAACCTTGGTAGCTTGAAGATGGGTGGACTTCAACTCCCAGAATCCCCCAGCCAGCGCTGGCTGGGGGATTCTGGGAGTTGAAGTCCACCCATCTTCAAGCTACCAAGGTTGAGGAACACTGTATTAGGGGCACCATTTTGCAGTGATTTCCCCATCCCCAACCCCTTCTTGAGTTGGTAGTTTCAATCAGCTTGTGTAATGAAGCAGAAGCTGATGCCAGGCACAAAAACAACACAGCAAAATCCAAACGAGTCCAATCCTTTATTTGCTTACACCTAATGGACAGAATCCTGCCAAATTAAAGCTTTTTAACTGTCCAGATCTTTGGTGTGCCTATCCCGAACTTCTTCCCCCTTCCTCCCCCCCCCATCCAGCACGGGACTGTGCCGTTTCTGAATTTGGGTGTTTCTATGGAATATATTGCTTTCTTCCTGGGAAAGCTGTGTGCTGCCACGATTCCCTCTACTGCTTCTTCAGGTGCACAATCCATCACAGTTGGGCCCTCAGTATAGAGAAGCAGAGATGTGGCCTTGAAAAGGGAATTTAGTGATTACTGTGTAAACATCCATTTAACCTGGATAGACAGGAAAGGGTGAAGAAAAAACTCGTGATTGCCCCACTTTGATTGTCTTCCATGTAAGGGAGAATATCAGACTTTCAAAATTGTGTTATTATACCCTGTAATCAGGGGTGGGATTCAGCTGGTTTGGACCAGTTCGGGTGAACCGGATGCTAATTTTACATCTGGTTCGCCGAACTGGTAGTTGCAAGGACTGACTGGCCCCGCCCACCCCGCCCCTCCCCCCCCAGGAGTCTCCACGCAGCCTGTTTTGGATGCCAGGTAAGTGCAGTGTCCGTGCGGAGACTCTGGGAGGGCAAAAAATGGGCCTCCTGAAAATTCAGGAAGTCCAGAAACAGGCCTGTTCCTGGCCTCGGGAGGGCCTCTGGATCCCAGAGGAGGCCGTTTTTGCCCTCCCAGAGGCTTGAAGAAAACCTCCAGAACTTGGGGAGGGTGAAAATGCCCCCCCCATCACCACCACCATGGTGCAGGAGGCTGAGTAGGCCACACTCACCATGGCCATGCCTACTCAGCAACCCGGCAGAGATCCAGTTGCTAAAATTTTTGAATCCCACCCCTACCTGTAATAATAGTTTCATAAACTCAATCCTTTCTCTATTTCATTTAGCATTTACATGGAGATTTAGAGAGAGATCTTCTGATATCCCAGAGATTGGTACATCAGTATGTTGCTGATACCCAACTATACATCTCCAGCCTGGGGCAAATGTGTAATGTAGTGAAAGTCTCTACTCCAGCTGAGAGGATCTGGATGGGGAGAAGTATAAATAATGAAATAAATTAAAAATGGCTAAAACTTTTTTAAAGGAGGAGGAGGAGGAAGAAGAGACAAAATTCATCCTCCAAAATATGAGAAAATGTAGAAAATCCTGGTTTCACGTAATGTAGAATAGCCATGGACATTTTCTAGATTTATCAAATTCAGGATGGTCTTTACCCTCTCCAAAAATATGACTTGTTGTCTCTCACCACAAAAACATTGTCCCTTCTGTTAAATAGAGATACCCATAAACAATCTCATACTCACTTTCCTTAATATTTCTGATGTCCTGGTTTCCAAAAATCCATCTAATAGTTGGCGTTGGTATTCCTTTGACCAGACAGCTGAATTCTACATTTTGGCCCTCATGAACTTCCTTCACAAGATCCATTGTGTTCACAAATGTAGGTCTCTCTGCAGATCAAAGGCAGAGGTTAGAAAACAAGAAGCAGTGAAAGAATGACTATGGATGGTCTACCTCAACAAGGTGCTTCACCTTAAGGCAGTCCATCATTTCAGGATGCAATAAAGACCATTAAGCCACTATGAACTGACACTCTATTTTGAAAGTGTTCCCTTATGTTTTGTGTGACACCTAGACTTCAACAATTGTTCAAAAAGTGAATGTCTTTTCTGAACAGTGAGAATGAAAACTTGGAAGTCAAGAAGAAACTAAAATTCCTTGAGTAGATAAGAAACCATTAAAGAGTCTTTCTTTCTTACTGGGAAAAAAAAAGTCAAGATTATTACATCAGTCATATGATATGAGCCGTGGTGGTGCAGTGGTTGGAAGGCAGTACTGCAGGCTACTTCTGCTGACTGCCTGCAATTTGGCAGTTCGAATCTCACCAAGCTCAAGGCTGACTCAGCCTTCCATCCTTCTGAGGTCGTTAAAATGAGGAGCCAGATTGTTGTTGGGGGCAATAGGCTGACTCTGTAAACCGCTTAGAGAGGGCTGTAAAGCATTGTGAAGCGGTATATAAATCTGCTATTGCTATTACAGCAATCATCTTGACTTTTTCAACCCTGCCTCTGATGGGTGCCCTAGTGTTTGCCCAACATTCTGAATCAAATCAATGTATTTCATTTAGTTGTATTACTGTCGTGAGACAAGTAATATTAAAGAGGCACACGTTCAGTCCTTTGCTTATTTGTTTGATATGCTACCTGACTCCAACAATTCTTAAGAGGAAAGAAATGAAATAAAAAGATAAGAACTGAATTCAGAATAGAATAGAATAGAATAGAATAGAATAGAATAGAATAGAATAGAATAGAATTCTTTATTGGACAAATGTGGGATTGGACACACAAGGAATTTGTCTTCGGTGTATATGTTCTCAGTGTACATAAAAAGACAAGATACATTTGTCAAGAATTATAAGGTACAACACTTAATGATAGTCATAGGGTACAAATAAGCAATTGAATCTTACTAGGAAACAATCAATATAAATCATAAGGATAGAGCAACAAGTTACCGTCATATAGTCATAAGTGGGAGGAGATGAGTGATAGGAACGATGAGAAGACTAATACCCTGTTTCCCCCAAAATAAGACATCCCCTGATAATAAGCCCAATCAGGCTTTTCAGCGCATGGCAATAAGGCCAAGCGCTTATTTCAGGGTTCAAAAAAATGTAAGACAGGGTCTTATTTTCGACGAAACATGGTAGCAATAGTAATGCAGCCTTAATGAATAGTTTGACAGTGTTGAGGTAATTATTTGTTTAGCAGAGTGATGGTGTTCGGGAAAAAACTGTTCTTGTGTCTAGTTGTTCTGGGGTGCATTGCCCTATAGCGTCGTTTTGAGGGTAGGAGTTGAAACAGTTTATGTCCAGGATGTGAGGGGTCTGTAAATATTTTCACATCCTTCTTTTTGACTCGTGCAGTATACAGGTCCTCAATGGAAGGCAGGTTGGTAGCAACTGTTTTTTCTGCAGTTCTAATTATCCTCTGAAGTCTGTGTCTGTCCTGTTGGGTTGCAGAACCAAACCAGACACTTATAGAGGTATATAAATGAAGAAGAAAATGTTGGGACAACCCACTAACTATATTTACCACTGCGTAATCTGTAACCTTTTAAAGTAAGACAAAACTTAATAACTTTATATACAGTAAGTGACGGATTTTTCTATAGACTAAAACTGAAAATACAGAACAGTTAGCAGCAGATGCCAACAATTTAGCTAGGAAGAGGACACTGGGTGTGGTCCACACTTGCTGTAGGAAAAGAAATATAGAAAGAGGTGAGCTAAAGATTCTCCTTCAATCTCCTTGAATCTTGAATCTGCGAGGTCGCATGTTATCTTCCTTGGCATGCTCTGGAAACGCATCAAAATAAAAATGCTCTTAATATGTTCTGTGGTTCTAGAGAAATTAAGACACTAGTGTCCATGAAAGCAGAATTAATGGACTGCACTGCATTTTACTGTTTTTTTTTTTTTAGCTTTGTTCTCTCCACCATTTTGTCCACTGTCCCATTTTGGGTCTCAGCTACTAATCAATTTTGGGTTTCATTCTGCAGATGTATTCTATATCCCACTGAAGCCTCTTTCAGGATGCTCAAATAAATATTACTTACGGATCACGTGGATTTCAATTTGATTCGTAACAGTTTTTTCAAAGTCAAATTCTCCAACGCACTTGAAATTCCCACCCTGATCTGGGCTAGTGAGAGTCATCTCCAGCCCCTTGGATGTTTCATCAATCACCTTCACCCAGTAGGGCTTGGAATCCTCTTCAATTTCATTCCCTTCGGGATCAATCCAAGTCAGAGACACTTGGACTCCTCCACCTCCTCTCACTGGCAAATCAAAAAATTGAAAAAGGCACAGTTAACATAGCATGGGCGGTAAAGGTCATATTGCTTCATATCACTTCAAGAATGTACTTGGCCTTCTCTCAAAACTATGGAAGTTTGTCCCAGTGCTTCCAAAAGAAAATGTTTCTGCACCTGTGCAGTGCACACAAGTAGAGGAGACCTCAGAAGCAGTGGGGAAATTCAAATTTTTTTTACTACTGGTTCTGTGGGCATGGTTTGCTGGGCGTGGCTTGGTGGGCGTCGCAAGGGAAGGATACTGCAAAATCCCCATTCCCTCCCTACTCCCAGGGGAAGGATACTGCAAAATCTCCATTCCCACCCCACTCTGGGCCAGCCAGAGTCTGACTCCCTCTTCTTTGTGGCAGCCCCTGAGATATTTGAAGACTGCTATCATGTCTCCCCTAGTCTTTCTTTTCATTAAACTAGACATACCCAGCTCCTGCAACTGTTCTTCATATGTTTTAGCCTCCAGTCCCCTATGCACTTACCTTTGCATAAAAAATATGCCTGTGTATTCAATTCCACATTCCCATTTATAGGAATAATTTCCAGAGATTCCTTGGCACCCTGTACAGCCCCTTGGGAGAGAGAGAAAAAATACCAGTGAAAAACTTCCATAAAAATCTTATTTTTCTGATAATAATGAGTAAAACCATCTCAATAAATGAGACAATATTTTTTTCCCCTAAAGATATCCAAAGGACTGCAACTGAAGACCATAGTTGGCAGTAAAGTAATCTTGTAGGATCTCCACCAGGGGTGAAATCCAGCGGATTCTGACAGGTTCTGAAGAACCGGTAGTGGAAATTTTGAGCAGTTTGGAGAACCGGCAAATACCGCCTCTGGCTGGCCCCAGAGTAGGGTGGGAATGGAGATTTTGCAATATCCTTCCCCAGGAGTGGGGAGGGAATGGGGATTTTGCAGTATCCTTCCCCTGCCATGCCCACCAAGCCACGCCCACAGAACCGGTAGTAAAAAAAATTGGATTTCACCACTGATCTCCACTCCCTAAAGCAGGTAGGAGACATACAGAGAAGTGGATAAGAGCCAGGGTTCAACAGAAATTGAACTTAAATTTAAAATTTAAAAATTAATTATCAAATGCAATGTAGAGTAATTTTGCACAATCACTTTAAAAAGTATAGCTCATCAATTATTCCTGAGGACTATACCAAGCTTTCAGAGATCCAGGTGTTCTGGAGGCATGATATTTTGCAACTGGTTGTAAACTGTGATTTGCAATCTGTACTAAGCAAACTTTACAACCAAGCATTCATGTGGGATAGCAATAATATTTTTTAGATTACCACCGGATTTTTGTTACTGGGTATAATACCCATACTTAATAGAATAGAATAGAATAGAATAGAATAGAATAGAATAGAATAGAATAGAATAGAATAGAATAGAATAGAATAGAATAGAATTCTTTATTGGCCAAGTGTGATTGGACACACAAGGAATTTGTCTTTGGTGCATATGCTCTCAATGTACATAAAAGGACAAGATACATTCATCAAGAATCATAAGGTACAATGCTTAATGATAGTCATAGGGTACAAATAAGCAATCAAATCATACTAGGAAACAATCAATAGCAATATAAATCATAAGGATACGAGCAACAAAGTTACAGTCATGCAGTCATAAGTGGGAGGAGATGGGTGATAGTAACGATGAGAAGACTAATAGTAATAGTAATGCAACTATTAGTGAATAGTTTGACAGTGTTGAGGGAATTATTTGTTTAGCAGAGTGACGGCGTTCGGGAAAAAACTGTCCTTGTGTCTAGTTGTCTTGGTGTGCAGTGCTCTATAGCGGTTTTTGAGGGTAGGAGTTGAAATAATTTATGTCCAGGAATGCGAAGGGTCTGTAAATTATCCAATTTTTAATGAGAAAAAGAAATGAAACATTTATCTGTGTATTTTAGCCCCTATGGCTTGGAATATAGCTAGTGTGACCAGATGTTAACTTCTAACTTCGCACAATATTTATATGTGTCTTTTTTTTTACTCAAAATATTTGGAAGACAAACAAAATATATTTTATCAGGTATTGCAGAATGCTCTAGATGCCAACACAAAAATATCTATATAGGATTATAGGTTTAATGTGGAAACTTCTCCTACAGAAATTGCATTCCACAGAAATGACTATTTTGGAACGAATATGCTTTAGGGGAGAGAGAGGGGAAACAAAAATGGGAAACAGACTAACAAATCTGATAAGCAATGGGAAACAACAGCCTTGGTAGTACAGTGGTCTAAAGCACCCTGTTATTAAGACCAGCTGCCTGCAATTACTGCAGGTTCGAATCTCGCCAGGCTCAAGGTTGACTCAGCCTTCCATCCTTTCTAAGGTAGGTAAATTGAGGACCCGGATTGTGGGGGCAATAAGCTGACTTTGTATAAATATACAAAAGGATGAAAGCTATTGCTTAGCACATTGTAAGCCACCCTGAGTCTCCGGAGAAGGGTGGCATATAAATCAATTTTTTTAAAAAAATAGAAGATTCCCCCCCCCCCCAAAATCCAGGTATTGCATCTTTAAAGGTAGCACACCCTGTATTAACTATGGCTTCTCTCTAAACACTTGGGAATTCTCCTGATTACAGCAGATTCTGATGTCAACATTTGTGTTCTCCAAAATTATTTTTTTCTCCAGAAATTAGTTTAGTTGGCTGGAAGTATCTGACTATCCCAGGAGGCACTAGATCTACCATGGATGAATCCAGACGAGAAGATCCAAAGATTCAGAGATATACCAACCTTCTCAACAACCATCTGTAGAGATTCTCAGTCATCCAGGTCATGATTGTCCCAAAAGTGCTTTTTCAGGAGGCAACTGGACTTTCTTGTTTTTTTTCTTTGAAGACATTTTGCTTCTCATCCAAGAAGCTTCTTCGGCTTTGACAGGATAGTGGGGAATGGAAAGATTTATATTCCTTGCAGGCAGCTGGTCATCTGTAGAGATTCTCAGTCATCCAGGTCATGGTTGTCCCAAAATTGCAGACTACAGGAACCAGGAGCACTACTCGGGTGACCCTGAGGACACAGATAAACCTCCAAGTGCTTCAACGACTCTCTAAAAGGATTCAAACGACCAGCTATCTGCAAGGGATATGAATCCTTCCATTCCCCACCATCCAATCAGAGCTGAAGAAGCTTCTTGGATGAGAAGCAAAACATCTTCAAAGAAAAAACAAGGAAGTCCAGTGCCTCCTGAAAAAGCACCTTTGGGACTTTTCAACAACCTTAAGCAAGCTCTTAAGAACAGAAATTTTAAAGGGGGGGGGGAGGTGTAACATAAGGGACCTGGAACCACAGAAAAATGATACTGCTGGATGAAGAAGTTGCAATTATATGCCACCTAGCTACTCTTTTGACTGCACAAACTCCTTCTTTTTTTTTCTTTTTTTAAAATTTGATTTATATGCTGCCCTTCTCCGAAGACTCAGGGCGGCTTACAATGTGCTCAGCAATAGCCTTCATTCTTTTGTATATTTATACAAAGTCAGCTTATTGCCCCCACAAACTGGGTCCTCAATTTACCTACCTTAGAAAGGATGGAAGGCTGAGTCAACCTTGAGCCTTGGCGAGATTCGAACCTGCAGTAATTGCAGGCAGCTGGTCTTAATAACCAGCTTAATAACAGGGTGCCTTAGACCACTGTACTACCAAGGCTCTTCTGTCTTTATATCAGTCTTCTTTGCCCTCGATGTAAACCAGCTCCCATCACCTTTCCAAGCAACATGGAATTCGTTGCTTGGGGAACATAGGAGTCATAGTTCAAACACATCTGCCAGGAATCTGGTCTAGACAGGCTGCCTTGGCTAAATCCACTGAGAATGAAATGGATTCAGACCATTTTTCTCCAAGCACTGAGATGCTGGATTTTAGATGTGCCCCTACCAAAATTCCTCCCTCCCCCTCTTTCAGAATTCTTGGCCTTGGGCATCTTACCTGCTGCAAAAATGAAAATGAGAAAATGTTCTGCTCCCATCTCAGTGGGGTGGGCTAGGATTCAGAATTGGACTTCTTCCTTGGCACCAGCAATCTGAAAGGATTCCTGGACCCTGGGAAGTTTATAAAGAGACCCTCCTCCCTCTTACCTCCCTTTCTGTCTCCCCTCCTCCCTGTCGTGTATCTCTATGTCTGCAGAGGAGGAAAAGGAAAGAGGAAATTAAGTTGGGAGGGGGGAAAAGATAGAGGAAAGGAAGGTCTATAAATTGTGTGTCTATAGGTGGGTGTGTCTCTCCATGGGTGTATTTGTGTCATGGGTGTGTGCCTGTTGAATACTCCCTACTTGTGCCTTTATTTACGTCGCATATGCATTTGCACAGGTTTTTTTTAATCATCTTTCGGGGTAACTGCATTCTAGAACTCCACAGGCCAGCTTTTCTCTTTGATTTACAATTGTAGAAAGTACAAGGTACTTTTAAGGAGCCTGGATAGCTCAACAGACAGAGCACTGTAATTTAACACCCGCTGTCTGCAATTAAAGTAAGATCGAATCTCGCCAGGCTCAAGGTTGACTCAGCCTTCCATCCTTTCTAAGGTAGGTAAATTGAGGACACAGTTTGTGGGGGCAATAAGCTGACTTTGTATAAATATACTAAAGTATGAAGGCTATTGCTTAACGCATTGTAAGCTGTCCTGAGTCTCCGGAGAAGGGCGGCATATAAATCAAATTAAAAAAAAAGAAAAAGTTAGCACCCATCCCTCTCCTAGAAGAATGAAATATTTTGAGAAATATTTAAAAAAGGCAGAATGTTATATTTCCCTGCATGAGAAATGGAGAAACATGCTCTTGGAAAACAGCCCCCACCTTCCGTGATAGCCCACAGCAGATGTCAGCACTTAAGAGGTAAAGAGATAGCTAGCTCTATTCATAAGCAAATTCCCTGCAGCAAGGTCTGAACAAAGGTAAGGATTAGCCCTCAGCCACAATAGGAAATGCCCAACAAGCCCCTTCATTACATCAGCCAAACTTCAACCAAACCTGGGAGCTGAGACAACCTACAGAGCCAGCTACGACCCCGACAAGTTCATTCTTCATTGATTTCCAGCAATACTCAAGCATCTCTTAATCCACTTCATTTCCCTCAATTTTTCCATAAACCATGAAGAATGACAGGAGAGAGGCCACATAGGTATGATATACATTAAGCTCAGGGGTGGGCTTCAAAAATTATAGCAAGGGGTTCTCTGCCTGGTTGCTGGGTGGGCGTGGCCATGGTGGGAATGGCCATGGTGAGCGTGACCTAGTCAGCCTCCAGCAACACAGGGGGGGGGGCATTTTTGCCCTCCCCAGGTTCTGGAGGCTTTCCTTGAGCCTCCCGGAGGGCGAAAACGGCCTCCCCAGGCTCCGTAAGCCCTCTGAACATCCGATAGGCCCGTTTTTCATCCTTCCTGAGCCTCCGCATATGCCCTGCACTTACCTACACCTAAAACGGGCCACGTGGGGACTCCTGGGAGGGGCAGGGTGGGAAGGGCGGGGCCAGCCAGTGGGATTTGGGGGTTCTCCGAACTGCACAGAATCTTAGCTAGAGGGTCTCCCAAACCCTTGCGAACCCCCAGCAGCCCACCCCTGATTAAGCTGCAACAAAAGTCTCTGTACAGGTTTTTTTCAAAGGCAGGACAGAGTCATAGATACATTCTGATCCCCTTTGACTTGGATGTTCCCGCAAATGGCGGCATTACAGCACAGCAGGTGGTTCATTTCTCCTTCCCTTAGTCTGAACAAGGATTTATTACCTGAGTGAGTCACACACCACCCTCAATCACGCCATAGCCATCATGAAGCCCAACCTCCTTAAGACAATGAGCTCCAGGCAATTTAAATTAGCCAATCTTTGGTTATTTATTTATTTTATTTATTTATTAAATTTATATACCGCCCTATTCCTGAGGGACTCAGGGCGGTGAACAGCGAACGATAAAAATACATGTAATACAAACGTTAATAAAAAATCAATTAAAATATACTAAACACTCTGGTCCTAGATAATTCAAGACATCCCAGTTTAAAATAAAATCAAAAAGCAATATAAAGGGAAAGTTAGGCCAGGCCGGCCTGATGAAACAGGAATGTTTTGAGGGCACGGCGGAAAGTGCGCAGATCCGGAATCTTCTGTATCTCTGGGGGGAGCTCGTTCCAGATGGTGGGTGCCCTCACAGAAAAGGCTCTCCCCCTGGGGGCCGCCAGTCGACACTGTTTGGCCGACGGCACCCTGAGAAGCCCCTCTCTATGGGAGCGTACTGGGCAGTGAGAGGCTATTGGTGGCAGAAGGCGGTCTCGTAAGTACCCCGGTCCTAAGCCATGGAGCGCTCTAAAGGTGGTAACTAAGACCTTGAAGCGCACCTGGAAGACCACAGGGAGCCAGTGCAGCTCGCGCAGGAGGGGAGCCACATGGGAGCACCATGCTGCTCCCATAACTACCCGCACGGCCGCATTCTGGACCAGCTGGAGCCTCCGGGTGCTCCTCAAGGGGAGCCCCATGTAGAGAGCATTACAGTAGTCCAGGCGTGAAGTGATGAGGGCATAAGTGACCGTATTTAACGAGTTATTATTTTTCTTTTTCTGAAATAAGGCTGGAAATTGGAGTTGGAGGTTCTCAGAGGCGAATTTATTTCCATTTCCACAAAAGAAAACTTTTCAAATCCTACAAAACGATCCCAAAGCATGGTACTGAACGTTGCTATTTTAAACATTTGTCTACTGCCTCTCACTTTATTTGTATATTGATAAATTATGTCCTTATTTGATCATTTGTTTAGTAATGACATAGATTTTCTCCAGGAGGATCTGTCCCCAGCCTGGTGTTTCAGATCTTCCAATAGTACACCCATTGTCCCTTGGTTGATGGGTTGGTTCAATCAGAAGAGAGTTGGAAGGGATCTTGGAAGTCTTCTAGTCCAACCCTCTGATCAAGCAGGAGACCGTATACCCAGTGGTGGGATTCAGCCGGTTCGTACCACTTCGGGAGAACCGGTTGTTAACTTTCTGAACAGTTTGGCAAACGGGTTGTTGGAAGAAATCTTTAGGGCAGAGAACCGGTTGTTAAATTACTTGAATCCCACCACTGCCTATACCAGCTAACCTTTTTGCCATCGCGTGCCAAAAGCGGGGGGAGCATGGGAGGTCGCGGGTGCGTGTGCCCCCATCCATAATTCAATGTGCCCCGCCCTCCCGCGCGTGCGCACGTGACCCTCACACACTTCCCCCTGCTTTTGGCACACAATGACATGGTGGGCCCGGTAGGCCTGTTTTTCCCCCTCCCCAGGCTCCAGAGGCTTTCTAGGAGCCTGGGGAGGGCAAAAACAGCCTTCCCCATCCCTCTGGAGGCCTTCCGGAGGCTGGAAACAGCCAGTTTCCCGACTTCTGGTGGGACCGGAAGGCCTGAAAATCAATTGGCCGGTGCGCACATGTGCGCTGGAGCTCAGCTAGGGCAACATCACATGCCCACCAATATGGCTCCGTGTGCCACCTGTGGCACCCGTGCCATAGGTTCGCCATCACGGGCCTATACCATTTCAGACATAAGGCTGTCCAGTCTTTTCTTTAAAAACTCGAGTGATTCTCTTCTCTTTCCTTCCACAGTAGTCCTCAACTTACAACCATCATTGAGCCCAAAATTTCTGTTGCTAAGCAAGACATGTGTCAAGTGAATTTTGCCCCATTTTAAAATGTTTCTTGCCATGGTTGTTAAGTGAATTACCACAGTTCTTAAGTTAATGGTTCAGTGGTGGGTTTCAAATTTTTTTACTACCGGTTCTGAGGGTGTGGCTTGGTGGGCGTGGCTTGGTGGGCGTGGCAGGGGAAGGATACTGCAAAATCTCCATTCCCTCCCCATTCTAATGGAAAGATACTGTAAAATCTCCATTCCCTCCCCACTCCAATGGAAAGATGCTGTAAAATCTCCATTCCCTCCCCACTCCAATGGAAGAATACTGCAAAATCTCCATTTCCTCCCCACTCCAATGGAAGGATACTGTAAACTCTCCATTCCCTCCCCACTCCAATGGAAGGATACTCTAAAATCCCGATTTCCTCCTGCTCAGCTGGGACTCGGGAGGCAGAGAAATGATGGGGGAAGGGCCAGTCAGAATTTTTACTACTGGTTCTCTGAACTATTCAAAATTTCCGCAAAATCTGAACCCCGAGGGGTTCTGATGCAGTTACTTTTATACTTCAAAGGTACAGGAAACAGGAAAGGCAGAAAAACAATTGTTTTCTGTATATGGTTATGCATACATTTGACATCTTATGATTGGTTACAGTATTGATAGCCTCCTATCTCAGCTGCCCCCTCCCCTTTGTTGCTGTACTATAGAAGCTAAATAACTTGTGCCCCATCACTAAAGTAGGTCACAGGTGTCTTGCAAGCCTATCTAAGTTTCCTGCCGTTATGTCTGCATTTACCTCTGTATTTGGCTATGTGTGACTTTTTGCTCACGATGGTTCCTCTCATGAACATGCACATTTATCTGTGTTGTGGCTCCGTTGCCTGAGCCTGGGCTATCGACAGATGCAGACTCTGAGAGTGAGGGAGAGGAGTTGGCAAGGCCTCCCTCTCCAGGACCCTCCTCTCTGGTAATGCCTCCGGAGGACACCGAAGGCCAAACGATAGGCTCAGAGCCAAGCATGTCCCCGCAGCCACAGGTGGACAGCGACGAAGAAGATAAGTGCTGGCTGGACCCTCGGCAGAGGCGCAGGGAGAAGCGTGCGCAGCAGAGGGGAAGGCGTGCCAGAGATTAGCTGAGTCACTGGACCACACCCCACAGGGTATAAATGTGGGTGTGGTGGCCGGTTCAGTTTGTGACGAGCAAAAACTGGAAATAATCCATGATCTCTGCGTTACTGGACTTTGCCTGCTTTATCAGACTGCATTTGGATTAATCCTTGTATTGTTGAAACTCTGCCTGTTTTATCGGAATGCTTGCAATCTAATCTTTGTTTTGTGTGAGTAAAGTCTGAATTGACAGCTAGCCACTGGGTTGCTGCCAGCTTTATCTTCAAAGAGTTTTGTCATGTGGCTTATTAACTCCG